TATATATATATATATATATATATATATATATATGTATACAGAGAAACTTATATGTTTACAATTAGTAATTTTTTGTTAGTTTTTTTAATTCAATAGTAATTTACAACCAATATATAATAATCAAATCACAATGTACTCAACAACATACACACCTTCCCGCCAATACCAGGCACGTTTCTAGAAAGAACAAACTTCGGGGTTATCATTCGTATGAAGCACGGGTGATGAAACGAGCCATCTGGTGTATAATTGAGACTATTTAGCCTAAGTGGAATTATTATTGTTCTTTAAATGTCTCGGATTCTATTTTAAATTTATAGTACACTTATAATAAAGAAATGGTTGATAAGGTAGGAGGGGTTAGGGAATTTCTGGGAGAAAGTGATTATTGCTCAATTAGATTTGATGTTTTACTGTATACGAAGCTAAAGATATTTTAGTTTCACATTTCAAAAATGCAAATTTTGAAAAGTTCAGACAAGAATTATGCGATTTGAAAAAGCCTTAGAAGGATTCACTGGAAAATTAATATTTGATGGTTATGGGACTGCCGGATTATAAAAGAGTATTTTTTATTCAGCTTTTACTAATGGATATTTAAGCAATATTTCTCAACTTGAATAGAAATGAATAAAAACCATGTTACGTCCCTGGCCGTTTGTTAATTTCCCGTAAAAATTCTTTCCGAAGAACTTCAGCGATACAAGTCCTTTCTTAAATAAAACTAGTTTATTCTTTTTCAATACAACTTTGCGATACACTTAATTTCCACAGTCATTTTAACTTAAACACACGCTATAATTCACAACGATTCACGCACTTTACTTTCGGTCACTACCGCTCACTTGACTCAATAATCTGTCTTTATATCTCTCTATCTGCAATTATTACCTCCACTTTATTTGCCGGGCTTATATATTAAAATATAGGGCGTCTGGCAAACACTCGAGCCTTCATGATCCTTCTAGAAACTCATCATGTGTTACCAGCGTCACTTGACTTCCGCTGTCGTAACACTGCCCCTTCCTTAGTATTGTTCGTCCCGAACAATAGCCACTTACATTAAACCAATAAATAATTAACAATAATTTGATTAAATGAACAGCATTTACAAACACAAAATTAAAATTCAACAAAGTCTCTTAACTTTACGGACGTATCTTCTTCTGTACTGGTCTCCATCTCGTTGGCTTCTGCTTCACGTAGGGTTCATCTGCTCCATCAGGAAATTTCCTATTATCAGTAACAGTCACATCGGTGGTAGTAACTTCGTTAAGGGGTTCACTGTTTCCCTTCTCTAAACCGGGTAGAGTTTCTTTTTCAACAGTGTCTTTTTCAGGTGACATATCTTCAGCAGCATCATTTGTTCTGTTGTTCATTTTGTTCCAACTGAAATGTCCTGGACCATGATAATGCCAAAGCCTGTTGGCGTGCACCACCTTTGGCTTACCTCGCCGACCACATTTTATTCGGAAGTCACGTCTGAGAGACGATCCATTATGTCATATGGGCTTTCCCATGGAGAAGACAACTTAGGAGACTTCCCTTTGGTCTTCCTGGGATTATACAACCACACCTTGTCTCCTGATACAAAGCTGACTTCAGTAGATGTCTTATCATAAGATAGCTTCATGGAATCAGCAGTCGTTTTCAAGTTTCAACGCACTTGATGGTGAATATCATCCATCCTTTCAGATAACATTTTCACGAAGTCTGACACATTTTCAAGTAACTCTTCATAAGGTGGGCATCCTGTTATCAGATCTACTGGCAACCGAATTCCCGACCAAACACCAGCTTTGCTGGAGTGTATCCAGTGGCTTCATGCTCTGCTATCCTATAGGCCATCAACAGTGGAGGGAGTAAGACATCCCAGTCATCTTGTCAGTTATTACAAAACTTTGCCAATTCCTGTCCAAGTGTCCAGTTGTACTTTTCTACCATCCCATCAGACTGTGGGTGAAGTGTCATTGTCCTGGTCTTTCGTATGCCAAACAACTTGCAGCATTCATGGAACACAGATAATTCAAAGTTACGACCTTGATCTGAATGCAGTTCATATGGCATACCAAACCTGAAGAAGAAATCAATAACAGCCGAAGCTACAGTTGTAGCTGCCTGATTTGCTATTGCATATGCCTCAGGCCACTTGTTGAAATAATCCATCACCACACAAATGTACCTGTTTCCAGCTCGAGTTTGGGGCAAAGGACCAGCAATGTCAACAGCTAAACTTTCCATTGGTGCGCCAGCTTGTTATATCTTCATTGGAACACGTCCCTTATGCTTGGGTCCCCTTTCAGCACAACATGTACTGCAGGTCCTGCACCATTCTTCCGCATCTTGCCTCATACCTATCTAGTAAAATTTTTGCCATAGGTCACTCAATGTTTTCTTAACCCTAAGAAGTCCTCCTGTTAAACTGTCATGGAATTGATGCAGCACAACTTCCCGTAACTTTCTCGGTATAACTGTTTGCCAGGTCGTCACTTTCCCATCTCCGGACAAGAATACCATCTTTAAGCTTCAACTGGTCCCATTGTGCCCAATAGTTCTTTGTCACAGGGCTTAAGCTAGACACCTTCTCCCAAGCAGGGCGCAAAACACTTGCTTTAAGAAAATCAATTATTGGCTTCAAATCTTGGCCTTTCTCCTGCTCTACTTTAATATCTATACCTGGTTCCACTTCACCATCATCAACTATTTCAGTCTGTTTGACTTCAGCTTGATGACACCTGGTTAGCTCAACCTCTCTTTTGCAGCAATGTCTGCAGTCATTTTTGTAGGATCTTCGGCTCAGTCCATCGGCATTTCCATGAGATTTTCCTTCTCTGTATTCAATATTATAATTATACTGGCCTATCTTTCCGATCCAATGTGCCAGTTGTCCCTCTGGGTTCTTTAATGATCAGCATAATGCAACAAGATCTGTCCTGATGCTAAACCTAGCCCCATAGAGGTAAGGGTGGAAATATGTCAGACTCTTTACTATAGCAAGGAGTTCCCTTTGTGTTACACAGTACTTCCTCTCTGGTCTACTCAAT